CCTCAAAAACTGGAACGACAGATTAGATATGGATTTTGATTTTATAGATATTATAGATATTATAGATATTATATGGACAAAATTTACAAGTTGACAATAAAGTGATATACATAATCGGATCCGTCGAACTCGAAAAATATACGGTTGGATTTTAAGCTCGTCTCAGATGTGTTGTGCAGTTACAGTTTAATTTAGCGAACTGGCTGCCAAGAAAGACAACATTAGTCAGTCCGGTCACCCAGAAGAGAGAAAGCACTTATTTCGTGCGTTACGGGAATTCTCTTCAAACGCCATGATGCAGTAAGTACATTGTTTGATAAAGTTTTAACTAAAATAAGTACATGTATAAAGAAGAGAGAAAGAAAAAGAGAAGAAAGATACGAAACAATTAGGAAGATTTGTTTGGATAATAAAATAAGGAGAACACGAAAGTTATCGTTTATCGTCCTGACGATCAGAATTTCGACGTATCGCTCGAGAACGCTTCGAAAAAAAACGATTTTCCGCGCGGCGAGTGTGGAACAGATCGAAACCGCCACTCGGAAAACGCGACGTCGTGGCGGAACGGGAGAATACAACAAGTTCCTCCTTTGCCAGTGTTTCCCCAGCCACATCGCAAATATCTGCGAGCACGAACTACCCCGCATGTATTTATTTACCTGTCCATCATAAACAACTTCACGAGGGGCGTTTTCCCTTTTTCCTCGATGACGACGTCGTCGTCGCCGTCGCCGTCGTCGTCGTCGTCGTCCATTATTATTTGTGATTGGATTGGCTTGACCGATAACGGGTCTCATAGGTTCGGTATATCTCACTTCGTTTCGCGAGAAGTATTGGGGGAAAATATATCGGGAATGTGAGTCTACTAACCGGGAACCGATTTCGGGATGCCACGGAAAAAATATGTGCATGATTTAACGACAATGAACAAACCAAACACTTTTTGATTGAAGGAAATAGAATTATTGTTCTTATGAAACAACTCCGACTTCTATAATCAGAAATACGCTTTCACTCAACGAAGAACACGTTGCCTTGGTTCATCGTCAGATAAAGTCAACTAAATTTGATTTTCCATGTGGACAACCAACCAAGCTACTACGTAGGTTTTCGCCCCGATATATCTCTTCTCTTCCTCTTAAAACTCTTAATCGTCAAAATGGTCTTTTTTTTCAACTTAACCGTTTTACGATTTGCTTGGCAATGATAAATTGGCTGGCGTATTAATAGGTCCTGCTATGAATATTCGCATTCGGAAAATTCCGATTACGAGATTCGATTTCCGAGCGATTCCTGTCGCATCACGAAAGCTATGCCTAACGAGAATGAGAGGAAAAGGTTACCGTAAGCGAAATATAATCCCCAACCGACTGCTGCACGCATAAAGGAAGGACAAGAGAGATCCTTTGTTGCGCGGGGACTAAAGCTCACCGTGTCGGTCCGGAAAAGCCGGTATTCCCTCTTCGTTTTGGCGTAGCTACCTGTGTTCGCACAAAAACTGCGCGACCGAGACCCGGACATGTATCGCACGTAAAGTTCCAGGTTGCGCACGTCCAAAGTCGATTTTTTCACTACACGCTCTCAGATTTCTTTCATACCGTGTATCAAAGACAAAAGAGTTAAGAATGACAATAACCTTCAGAGGAATTTCAAGAATTCTCGAGACCTTCAGAGTAGCCTTCGAAGAAACATCTAGTGGTTTTCAACACAAAGAGGACGAGCTTTCTAGGATCTAGCATTCTTATTTTGATTCGAATTTTTGCTCAACCTAAGCAACATAATTAAATATCCAACGCCATTGTGCTTCATTCGATTAAACTAAGTTGTTTGTAAAGAAAGTACTATTATTTAAAGAAAATAAAAAGAATATATAAATTTAATTTTCCACCAAATAATATATTATTTAGTTACATTATAAATCTTGCTTCGTTGGATTAAATTATGTTATTTAATTAATTAAAAAAAAAAAACTCGTTTCTAACGCTGCGTTTCTCGCAAAACGATTTTCGAGGGATTTCACGAATTCCAGCGTTTTAAAAAATTTTATCGAGGCCCGGTGATCATTCGAGCGATGCAGAAAAGCCCGACGCTCATTGATCGACGTCAATAGCGCAACGCGACGACTCGATTCGGCGTCTTTAAAGCTACGTACACAGTCACACTAAACACAGTCACACAGCCTTGCTAAACAGCCGCGAGACGTACAATACGTCGGAAAGAAACGTATATCTACGAAATAAGAAGGGACATGGCGAGACACGGCAACGGAATACAGCACACGCTGATGTGCACGAGGCTTTAATTAAATGGCGCGCTCGAGCGCGTGCACGGCCACGTTGCCTGTTCTTCTGCGTCGTTCGGGCGCCGAACAGCACGGACACGAGGTTGATTCGGAGGATGATTATCAGGGGGCCGGTATCTTTCGAAACGACTGGTTCTCGTGGTAGGTCCCGTACCTTAAAAATCGCGAACAATCGATCGGCCGAGTCGACGCGAAAGCGAGTGAACGATGAATCTCGTGCGGAACAATTCACACCGAACGCGAGACGCGAGATTCTTCAACTTGGAAAAGGGAGAGAAATATTCTATCGCGCGAATAGGAAAATTATGCCGGTGAAAATCTCCCCGAGAATTATCGTGGTCGAGAATACGATGCCATGCGCCACGTGGTGGCACAGACAAACACGATCATTTGTGTTTCTCCTCGAAACGTTACCGTTACCGTACGATATAAAAGCTCACGCGTGGAATTTATATTAGAATTCTATTCGTCGAAGAAGCTCGCTTGAATTTCGTCTTTGAAATATTTGATGCTACCCATTATATCAGGTCGTTAAGACAATGGAAAGTTTATTAAATCGTCGACGACCGACGACCATGTATGAATTGCAGTACTATCGTTTAAATTACTATTTTATATTGTTGTTTATCATGTCACTTAACTTTCGTAAACGCGGTATGTTCTATGATTACCAACAAAGACGTAAAAAAAGACCAAGTTGAAAAGAAAGACCATTTTATCGATTAAGGTTCTCAAGAAGATATATATGTCGGAACGAAAAACGGAGTAGCTTAATAGAACGGTTATTTGCACGAAAAATTAAGTCTAGTTGAACTTATCTTGTAATGAACCAAGCAAACATGTTTTGCTTGAGCAAAATAGTATTTCCTGTTCTATGTTGCGATGAACTGAGAACCGTACGGCACAAGAAGCAAAGTAAGACTGAAGACCTGAGATCGAAAGTTTAACGAAAGGTAGCAAGCACAGAATTTCCGTTAAAAGATTTAAAGAACCAAGGATAATGATAGTTTTCTATTGGGTACAGACATTTCACCTTTGTCCAGTCACCTTTGACCCCTCCTACTGAATAGAATTTGACTATGATAAACGAATGAATGAGAGTTTACGGATGAACCTGATTAAAATTTCCAGGTAGTAAGTCATTAATCTTTTTTTTCTAAACAATGAAATATAACGCATTTCTGACAAGAAGTATTTTCCTTACTTTCGAACATTGAAACAACGCTTATAAATTTTAAGTGTGACGTCTGATTGTGCTGAAAAGGTTTTTTGTTAAAAATTACGTTATAATTTAGTACTTAGAGCAAAAAGTTTACACGTTCCCGGCCAGGTTGATCTTTGACGATTTTCCATCCACATGGTCGCTGGTGATAATTGCAATACTAATTGCATAATATTTCGGTATCAATACACGATTATGCAGCATATTTTATGATAGGTTAAACGGAAAGTTTAGCATAGGGCGTGTGATCCACGCGGCAGCGAACGTGTTAAAAGCTTCCTATATTTATCGCAAATCCAGATTAATAATTTTTTAACTAAGTTTTTTGCACTCGCAGCCTCTTGTGGAGTCTGTGTACACAAATCTACGCACTGAGGATAAAAGATTAGACAAAATCGACGATTACTATCACTAAAAAAAAAAAAAAATGTCTACTGAACAAATTACGCAACAATATGCGTTAATATAATTGCTAACCAAATCACAATCATTAAATCAACTGACAATTAATTATAGCAATTATATAATTTATTCAGTGGACTAAATGTTGTGCGTGAAAAGATTTTTATTTCAACAAAATTTCGTTGATTCTACCACCTGTTTTTCTTAGTGTGAGCGACGATTATTTACTTTTACTTAGTAAAAATTGCGCGTTTCTCTCCTAAAGTTTCAGGTAAATTAATTTTTGAGAATTTCTGTATCTCACTATTTTCATGTACAAGCCATGCGGCACTTGGTGGCCCTCCGCTACTCCGAAAATGTAGCTTTACCTGTCTCCTACTCATTCCCACGCTTCCTTGTCCTTTCCCTTTCTCATTCTCTCTCTCTCTCCTCCTCTTTCCCTCCGAGCGTCCCTAGCAGGTCGTTCGCGGCAGAGGCGAACATAACCTACAACACTGTCGTCGGACAAAGATTCACCGAGAGACAACGAACGCTCAAGGCCAGTCGCCGCCGGCTTTCGACGCTCACGCGCTTTCGTGCGTCTCGCCGACGCGTCATGTCGGCGATGGAAAGCGCGAGAATCCGAGCGATAAGGAACTGAGAAAGAAAACGAAGGGTCGCTACGAGACGCCACGGACACGAGCGACGCGACGCGGCGCGTTACGTCGTGTCCGCCTATGGTCACTTCCCGCCACTTCTCGTTATTCGTCTACGGTGCGATCGTTCTCGTCGGCGCATACCCGCGTCGACGAGGAGCGTGCGGCCGTCCGTCGACCCGGCGCCTGCTATCGAACCGATGCCTTCGGGAGCCCCGCGTTTCGAGAGCCTCGTGGGAGCGAATGAGACGGAAGAGGACGGAGCGAGGAAGAGAGAGAGAGAGAGCACGAGAGACGCCTCTCCTGTCTGCCTGCGCGTTCTGTCCCCCTCTCTCTTTCACTCGCTCTCTTCGTCGCTCGGCCTGCCTGTCTGGACGGTCATGTTCATCACGTTTCGTCATTGTCGTCGCAATCGCGGATAGACGGAAACGATACTTACAGGGTAGTACATCCCCTGCGGCGGAAGAAAAAACGCCCCAGAGCCCCACAGCTTGAGGCCGTTTTGCTCCACCGTTGTGCAAGAAAACAATCCGTCACTTCGTACCGCCGCCTCTCCCTCCTCCACCGCCGCCTCCTCCTCCTACTCCTACGGCGATGATGCTGATACTTTCTTCTTCTCTTGCTTTTTCTTTATTAGCACTATCTCTTTCTTCCCGGAGTACGCACACCACGCGCGCTACTAACGGCGCGTCCTTCTTTCTCTATCTCTCTCTCTCTCTTGCTCTCTCTCTCTCTCTCTTGCTCTTTCTTTCTCTATGTTTTCACCGAACGTACTTGTACGCGGCACACGACGTTGAACACAAACAAAACCGATGACGACGTACCGTCCACCTCCTCCGCGACCCTCTATCTCTCGTTCTTTCTCTCTCTTTCTCTCACACACCGACGAAAACACACGGACGAAATCACGCACGCGCGCACCCAAACCGGAGAAACTGCTGGGGACGAACCACGATGGTCGAACGGCGGAATCGCGGCTTCTCGTGTCGCGCGGATCGAGCGAAGGAGCTCACAGGAACGCCCGTACTCGTTTATCCGCTGCTCTATCCTTTTCTCTCTCTCTCTCCCTTTGCCTACTGTCGTACCTTTCTCGCGATCGCTCCCTCCGTTCGCACTAGCTCGCTCGTTCCGTCTCTGTCTATCTAGCGCGTACAACGACAACTCGCGACCGCCACCGTGGTCCCTCTGCGACTGCTGACGGTTCCGCTGTTAGCCGGCGCCATCGACTGCTAGCGCCATCGCGCGCGCGACAACAACGCCACCGCGCCCGACATGCGTACTAACAGCTCCGACCGAGTTGCAGCGCATGTCGCGCTTTCGAAGCCGCGTTAATCAAAGCTCCGTCGGGAACGCGATTCGATATTTCTTAGACATTCTGACAGCGGCAGAATTTATTTACCAACGAGTAGAATAATACATATGACAGAAACGTAATATTGTTTTGCAGTGTATCGTGTACTGAGAAAAACGTCGATTTGATGTAAAAAAGTAAACAGTCACAGAATAGGCCAGAAGAATATAGATTCAAATTAACAAGAGACGATTCGTTTCTCAACATCGACGTCACGTTAAATTTTTCGTTGCGATATTCGTTGCGTTTCGCGCGATCATCAGTGTAATATTTAATATTCGCTCATGTGAAAGCACATTTCGGTTGTCTCGTGGCATTAAACGCGCGTAAAATCGATCCGGGACAGTTCTCGGTGGCGGCAATATTCGACAAAAAGCGACAGCAGCGTGAAGATGCTCGACGGCTGGGTGAATAATCAGTTCCTCCTCGTTTACTTTCACAGCTCCCCGGTAACGTGCCCGAAGCGTGTGGCAATCGCACGTAGTTGCGGAATTATCCGCCGCTCGTTACCTACCTAAGCCGCGCGCGATATAGTCGGGCATCTGCGCGCCCCTCATCAGCGTCGCGTGCTCATTATTATTTTAATGCCGATCGTAAACGATACTTTTCATCATCTGGTGGTCTGATAAGCGATCGCGCACGATGTGTCCTTTTCATTCACCCACGATCTCGACTCACGTGCTCAACGGCGGAACGCTTCAAACGTGAGAAACAAACGGTTTTATTCACGCGGGTATCAATCGCCTTAAGGAAATCTCTCTTTCTCTCTTTCTCGTAATCCACATTTAATGAATTCACGAAACGCGTTGGAAATCTTCGCAGAACTCCAACGTCGCTGAAGACGCCCAACTTTCGAATGGTTACGAGAAACGCGGAGTGGTCGCGTTGGAGTACGCGCGCCTCGCCGTACTTTGTGACATTTCCTTAGATAAAGTTTTCGTCAACTCTGTTCTCGCTTAAGTTACCGATAAATGACGTTGATTCTCGAATAATGACGTTTTAGGCAGGTCACGCAGCAGTCGGGTTGGCGCACCGCGTGCGCTGACGACGAGTTTTCGCATTTTCGGGCACTTATGAGATTTCCTTGGATAAGTTTCTCGTTAATTTTGTTTTCGCCAAGTTACCGACAAATAACGTTCATTCTCGAGCGACGATGTCCCGAGCAAAGTATTACTACACATAAGCGGTCACATTGGCGCACTGCGCGTACTCTCGTCAAAACAATACCTATGAAAATTCCTTCAGGCAAATTTCTCTCGTGTCGTTCGTCGAGCATGGCACTGTGACATTAATTCCTCGGCGGATCGTTCGAAACGTTTCATCGTCGGAACGAGATACCGGGGAAGCCGGATGACACACGCAAACTTGTCATAGACTTGCAGCGAAAGAAGAATCTACAATGTTCCGCAATAAATCATACGAGAAGCCACGCGAACGTCGAAGGGAATACACGGAGGGGAATATTCTACGGAGTTTATTCAGGAGCTATTAACTCGGCTAAGGTTGCCCCCGCGTGCGCTTCGCGCGGTCTCCTCCGTGTGATAAGTTATCGATCGCGGTCCCTGTAATTATGACGACGCTGCTAAGCCCGGTTACAACATCTAGAGGTGGCGGATTATTATTTCAGTCCGCCTTGTCGCGCGTCCGGTTCAATAAAGTCAACGGCGGCTCGCCGGCGGCGGGATTGCGACGACTGTGACGAGCGCCAGCCGCGACGGCGGAAGAGTCCTGGAGATGCGCGCGCGCACACGCGACCGGAAGTGCGAGGACAACAAAATCTCGACAATTTATATCGCTGGAATTTGGCCAAGGATCGCTGGGCTTCGGGCGGCGCGGCGGGGGACGAAAAATGTCAAACGCGATATCGCGACGGTTCACTCGCTGGTAATTTACAATTTATTGTACTCCTGACGGCGGACGTCCCGGATTCTTCTCGCCGACGACGACGTTACAGTTATTACCGCGGTACCGTGTATTTGTCGTCGACGTGCGAATTTAAACAATTGAGGGTAGGTACGTAATACCGACGAATAGACGCGGCAGCATCGAGAACGCGACACGTTCGCGGCTCGTTATGGTTTTCACGACGCCGTGCACTTCTCCTCTGCCTCTCTTTTTCTTTCTCTCGCTCGCCGGTTAGTCTACATCGCGTTATGTTTTTCCGATAACAGGCGATGACGGTGGAATAAGGGGGAGATACGAACAATATACGATAAATTACGGACACGCTCGCCGAGCCGTTGCGTACGCAAGAAGTAGGAAGTATGTATTCCACGCCGCTTTATGGATCGCCTCGCGTATACGTGTATACCTGGTGTGTACACTCGATATATATATATAAAATATATACATATATATATATATATGTGTGTGTGTGTGTGTGTGTGTATACACGCCACCCGACAATCAACCTGCGCGAGGGCGACCCGCGAGGGACGCGACCCCTCTTCGGATCACCATAGAAACCAAGAGATGGGACGAGAGGGTGCAAATGCTATAGCGCTTAGAATAACGCGCCCGAAGACCCTTCAGATGGAAAGGGGATTCTCGCGACGTGATAGCGGAGAGCCTCGCTAGAAATATAGAGATATCCTCATATACACGGGATATATTTGCCATCGGCGACTATAAAAGCGTATATCACGCTATCGACGTGGAAAACGTCGAATAAATATAGTTTATCGTAACTCGGAGTAATAAGCAACGTGCGCGGAATATGTTACGCTTCTGCAGGAATAAAGAATAAAAAGAGACGACGTCGACAACGACGAGAGCCTCGTGGAGGTTCGATGAGTTCGCTGAGAGAGCGGAAACGAAAGGATCATGGCGGAGGATCGAGAACCCTTGCGAACTCTTAACCCGCTAGTTAGCAATTGAATTCTAATTAAACCGAGTACATTTTTAAGAGGTACGGGACCGTAAACGCGAGAAGCGAGAGAATTAGAACAGTAGATAAGTAGAAAGGATGAGCGTTCCGCGCGAATACTTCCTAATTAATAAAGGAAATTATTTTACTCCGAATTATTTTCGTTCGTTCCCGAGGAAACGGCATGTAATGACGTAAATTTTAATTCTTCATTGTGTGTATACAACATAATTATAAACAATTTCGGAGAATAAATCTCTCCCTCCCACCTCCTCTTCCTCTCTCTTTCTCTCTTTCCAAAGACCTCGCAGTCCACCGCAAGACCCGGCGAAACATTTTGTCAAATTTTGCCGAATTCAATTCGACGCTTATTCGCTCAACGAGACGACCGAGCGAACGGCAATTCTCGAACGGACGTTTCTCTCGTCGCGCTCGTGCGTGGATTCCGCGGCCGATGAGTCTGTTCTCGCGTTTCTTCGCCATCGGACTATCCGCGTGGAGAGGTCCCTCGAAACGCGGCGCGCGTCGCGATCCCGTCGGATCGACGGTGTCGTCGTAAAATCGCGGCTCGCCGACCCATTCTCTCCTCACCGCTGCAGCAGCGGCGGTAGCTGCAGTTTCAAGTGCACTCGGGGTAGCCACGCGCGTATTTTTAGAACCCTCCACGCGCGTTGTGGCTGGAGCGCACATGCGCTCGGCGAACGACGCCATTCAGAGTCCTGGTATGCCGGCACCTCGCCGGCTTACACGCTCCTGACACTATAAATGTTTTATGCTCGACCTCACCGTCGACGACGACTATCACGACGACAACGAGGGACGGAAGAGAGTAAGAGAGAGAAAGAAAGAGATAGAGGCCCCGAGAGAGAACAAGGCGGGGACGGGAAGAGCAGGCGGAGGGATCGAGGAGGATAAATTTATCGAGTCTTAGAGAACAAAGTATCGCCGGGATGCGGGAGCGCGTGGAAGCTATGAATATGCGCCGAGAAATCCGCGTATATTAAATGTGTGTGTGTGTGTGTGTGTGTGTGTGTGTTGGGAAACGCACGTGACATTAGTCGTCGGAAATAATTATCCCGGTAACTAAAACAATATGTACGGCACGAACAATGTCAGCTCCTAATAATTAACATAATAGAAATCTCACGGCGACGGCAGCAGAGGCATTAGTACGCCGCGGGCGCTGTGGAATTGCTCGCGCTCTTGCAAGTACCGAATTTAATGATTAAACAACACTGTGTGTCCGGTGTAATTCGGTGAATTGTTCGGCTAGCGGTTCGGCTAGTTTAACTGGCGCAGCCGCGTATCTATCGATGATGCGTTGTTATCTGCGACAGCTAGCTCGTTATTAATCACGCGTTGGCCGTTGACGAACGATTTCGTTTTTGCCCCTCCCCCCTCCCACTCCTTTTCCATTCATCATTCATCCTCGCAAAAAAGGAAAAAGAAAGACTCAGCGAAAGATCGTAATGCGTTTTACTAAACAATAAAAAATTGTATGTTACGTATGTAAATATTTTTCAATTAATACAAGAAATTACTTTCTTTCGGATTATTCTCGTCCGTTCCCAGAGAAACAGCGCGTAATGGCGTAAATCTGAATTTTCGTACTCGCTATATATAGCATGATTATAAACAATTTCAGAGGGTGTGTCTCTCTCTTTTTCCAGACACCTCGCAAGTCCACTGGTTTCAACGATCCATCTAACTTGTCGTGTTACTTTAACATAAGGAATATATGTTAAAAAGCACACAAATATATTAAACTAACATATTCACCGTGTTAACATTATTCACTTTGTTAAAATAACATAAAAATTTGAGCGGGTAGTTTTTGACGCAAAATTTTTTTGCTACATATGCGCTTGGTCCGATTTAAAAATACTTTTTGCGAAGGGAGAAAACTAAAGAGGAAGAGGGAGAGGTGGAAGAGGAGAGTCGCATTACATCGCCGCGGTGAT